GAACCACGCAACCCATGATACGCAATATACAACATTTTTACAAAGAATCTGAAAGTATTCACAAAACCAACTCTTATGATTTATTAAGACAATCCTTCACAAAATATATTAAGACTCGCATATTTATCTGTAAAATCAGTAAATTCATACCATCAGGAGCTTGTTTTCCCCCCACAATGTTGACAGTTATTGCAAGCATTGTGCTACACAATTTCAACTCGATCACGAGAAACATTGCTTTGTAGGGGGGAGGGAAGAGTAAATCGTACTTTCATCTAGGTAGTCTCATAATTTTTGTGAAGGATTGCTGCATCAACACCAGAAAGTTTTGAAGGCCTGAATACTATATTGTTCTTTCTTCATTATCTTTAAAAAACTGTTCTTTTTTTTAGTACGGGGCTTTTGATCGCAATTCATACAGTTCTGATCTCAAGTTTGTGATCACTGATAACCACTTCACCAGTTAGAATCAAAGTAGCCTCAGGCAGGCTCAGTAGGACTCAAAACCAATGTCATGATTTCTGCACTTTCTTGTTGTTTTTGTTGTCTAATTTCCCCAGAATAATTGTTTGTTGTTGTTGTTGATTGTTGTTGTGGTTTGATGTCAATGTCTGTGGTGATCTTTTGTTGTTCATTGTTGTATGTTTTCCACATTTGTCTGTTGTTGTACAGTTTAAATGCCATTGTTGCTTGTCGTTATTTGTTGTTGTATGCTGTGTACAAATTTTCATGTTGGAGCCCAATCTTCATCTTGTACATCGCGGAGGTCACTAGGACGTCCTGTGAGATCAAAACAATTACGTCAAACCAAAGTTATCAAATGAGAACAATCCTTACAATCACAACGACCTCAACATGCACAATGACAAGCCGATTTACCTCAACACCAATTAATGTATCAAGGGATAAAGAAAGCTTATAGTAAACAGCTTTATTGTATTTATAAAAAACTGACCTTTAACAAAGTGGTCGCTGCATGCAGACTCGTGCATATTTTGATGATTTTGCTCCGTTCGTCATTAAAAGTGAGAGATTAGCAAGCCATCTTTTGCGACGTTGTTTTGTTAGCTGTTGAATTCTTTCTCCTCCACGTTTATTTTTCTTGGGCACTCGAAAGAAAATCTTCTCTTTTTCCCCTATTAGAGCGGTTACTGCACCCCAAAACAGCGCATCTTTTTGTTATTTACGTTACATATTTTGCAGCATTTCAATCAAAACAAAACAAAAATTTAAACTATGCAACCGTCATTTTAATCCTTGAGATACATGTAGCCTGCAATCGGGCTAGTTGACCCCCTGCATTGATCAACCTCGTTCCCAGGCTCTTTGCTCTTGGGAAGCAAAGACCCTGGTCGGAGCTGGTCACGTGACCCATAGAAAATTGATAGCCCAAGAGGGGGTTGGAAAAGTCTCATATTACATGTTTCCACTTCCGCACTTCAATTGCAAGGAGTGGCCGTTCTGTACAATCATCTAATTCATCTTCGAGAATCATATATACCTCAAACTACTTGCTAAATTGGTTTCTGTTTGCTTTTAAATTATACAAACACGCTAAAATGCAGATTCTTATAGCAACAGAAAATTCAGGCAATCAAGCAACGAGAACGTATGACTGTACGCTTTGAAATATTTTTATTTTCTCGGGGTTCGCCGGTTCGGGCGTAGTTTCATTTCACGCGTGCGTTTCTGTTCTGGCTCTGATTTTTATAATATGCTTATAATATGCCAATGAATTGTTCTAATATGGACACGGTATAAATTTTGTTAAACAGATGTCTCAAAAGCGACTGTTTATAGGTCATAGGATTAGCGCCTTGCCGGTCTTAAAGTACGTGACACATTTGGACACAAGGCAAATACACATTGAATGTCCATTCTATTGATTCTAAAACTGTTTCAGTTATACATATAGAGTTAGACATATTGCTCTAGATTTTTTAAAAGGTTATCATCGTTTATATTAAACACCAGGAAGACAAAATATAACGTACAAAATTGTTTGAAATGGACAGTGCACAGCTGACATACCACAATTGACCATTTGCGTAATAGACAAAATTTTGATCTAAACAAATCTAGACAAAAATTTTATCACAGTTTGAAAGAGCATCACAAAATTAGTAATATTCCAAAGTTTCGTTGCGAAATGTTGTAAAATGCGGATAATATAGCCTTGCGAAGTTTGCAATTTTCAGTCATTTTAGATTACAAACGGGAAATTGACAGCCTCGAAGGGTTTGGAGCTCTCAATTTCCCGTTTGTAATCTAAAATGACTGAAAATTGCAAACTTCGCAAGGCCATATTTTCCGCATTTTACAACATTTCGCAACGAAACTTTGGAATATTACTAATTTTGTGATGCTCTTTCAAGCTGTGATGAAATTTTTGTTGAGATCAAAATTTAGTCTATTACGCAAATGGTCAATTCACAACTGCATGAATTTTCTTCAAAATATTGCACATCATCTCCTATAAATTCTATCGCCATTTACCCTCTCCCCTTAAATGCAAAGGAATGACAGCAGAAAAGGTTTAGCAAAGTATTTTTTATTACATCTGGTAAAACTATAAAGTGTCCTACGTTTTATCAGGACAATATACATAATTCATAAACTGCATTATATGCACACGAAGTCTCGCTTATATTAATGAGTTTTACTGTAACAAACCAAAAAGTTTCCATTGATAGATAGGTTGTTTGCCTCCAGTATTGTTTGGTAAAACAGACTAAACATCTAAAATGTCGGTTACGGAATACGATAAAGATTAAAGTTGATTTAAATATTGATAACTCACAGCGGTATTAATCCATTATTACAAGTCTAAAGAAGCTGGATTATTCTTCAATAAAGCCTTCAATGGACAATGCCAATGTCAATGAAAGGTCTAATATTATACACGTTGCAAATTACTGTATACACAAAATATGAAATAATTTATATAAAGTACAATACCAGTGTCTGATGCATATATCGTCCTAGATATTCAAGTTGTACCGCACGCACGGAAACGCACGGAGGAGTCTTGGCGTTTGTGTGATAACAGATAGCTAGCTACACTTCGACATTATCTTTCTTGATCGTTGAGTTTCGGCAATGTAAATGAAATGAATTTTATAACCAGTCCATAACGGGTTTTAATCCTGTGCTTTTACAGTCAAAATAGCACTATTGTTTAATACACATGTTGGCGATGTTTGGGAAATCAAAGGATCCCGTTATAAAATAAATCTTTTGTTTTGAATATCGGACAGAACACCAGAGAACCATATCGTTAGTTTAATATCGTTTGATCGATCATTCTGTGTAGAAGATATGTGTGTTTCTACGGCGATACGTGCTAAACTTCGCAAGCCAGGCGCGTGTGGAGTGCTTTCCTTGCAAGTGAAATATGATCCAGCTTCTCGCTTGAAATGTACCGCAACACTTATTATTGATGACATTCAGTACAGCAGGAAGTCTTGTCATGATCGGTACAATTTAAAACAGTTCCTTTCACAATCTCTTGTTGCAAATTACATTTATATCACCCGAAATTATAACACATAAAGTTGCAATTTTCCAAACGCAACAAACAGACTCCTCTACTACCCCTCCCTGAGATCAAATTCAATTTACCCCCAAAATCTGGGGGTTCACGTGACCAGCTCCGACCAGGGTCTTTGCTTCCCAAGAGCAAAGAGCCTGGGAACGAGGTTGTGCATTGATCTCCCGTCAATATTTACATCGGCACTGTGACGTCATATGAAACACAAAAATAGGAGAAAAGTGCACTACTGTGCCTTTTTCAGTGCTGAGTTAGACGGAAATCGCTGCTTACTTGGATGATAATAATAATAATAACACTTTATTTATTGAGGATAAACAGATAAAGTTACAACTTTTTTCCAATCTGGTCCTCAAACCTAACTCTCCAAAATGGCTGGAAATGCAGGCATCTTTTAATAAAAATGATAAGATAGGAAATTGTATAATAGCCTACGGCCTACCTGTGCAAGTAAATCCGTTTCCAGTGTAGCCTGGGTTACATTGACACGTGTAATATCCAGTAGTGTTTGTACAGAAACCATTCACACTACAACCATGAGTCCCGAGTACACATTCATCAAGGTCGACTAGAAAGTAATGAACGAATCATTACATGAAATGCAGATAACGACAAATTCAAAATGATGTTGGACAGTACAAAGCAGTGTGGAATGGACTGGGTAAGAAATGGCATTGAACACAAAATGAAGTAGAATTCTCTTTGTTGAGTAAAATGTTCAGTATAATCATTATCGTTTACATTAACGACGGGCATAAACTACTGATATTTTGCTAAAAATATATGGATGCCAGAAAAAATTTTAAAAAGATAAGCTTATTAATTATACCTTGATACTGTTATTAAAAACCTAAAAGAGTCTCTTTCTACTTACGACACACTGCAGGAGAAGAGTGCAATAATGCCACAACAATCCGATGAAGAGGCCAAGATGTGTAATCATTACAAAGGCGGAATGAGCTAACATTTGCCCAGGTTATGCCGAATAGGAAGGATGTAAATTCAGATGACCAGCCATACATACACCGCAACTGTTCTGCTGTAAGACCAACACGATTCTCAATTGTTTGACCAATCGTTTCAGTATTTCTAATACTGCCCAATATTATTCCAAGTCGGGCCAGCAAAACATTGAAATTTTCTGTTTCGAAAATGATCTTCCTATTAACGAGATCTACAGCGGAGCTTTGGTACAACGTTTGGTAGCTAGTCATGGTTCTCTGGTATATTTCGGATACTGTGGTACCTAAACACAATGCTAAACGACTAGCAGAGATAATAAAGATGCTGAATATGCTGTCAGATCCAATTTGAATTGAAGATGTACCATCTGCTAGAATAATAACTGAAACACCACCAGTCCCTGCTGTTAGGTTGGATGAAAAAGCACTTGCTAGTTGATCGAATGAACTTTCAATAGCTACTCGTACCAGTCTATACCATTCAAACGATGGAAGATTAATAGCTACAAAATTGTCAACTCCTGCAACAGTGAGTTTGCTCAGAAACTCATTGATATTATATCGTAAATATAAAGCCTCGAATACCAGGTTGTGAGCCTCGTGGATCGTTAAACTGTCAATTTGAGCTTCAGTTCGTCCAGTGAGGGCGCCAAGAGTAGATTTAGAGAAATCGTATGTTTGTAGGAGAAGGGAAAGGTATTGCTGATAATTATCCCTCATAATCAAATTTAAATCACCAGATCCATTCAAGGTTCTGATTGCGTATGCGATTTGCGGAACTGAGTAAGTAATGATTTGAGCGTTGGTGAGACCTTGACGAGCTTGAACCTGGGTAATAAGTGGAGTTTCCATCCAAATACCTTCCGAAATGGCAAACAATAGTTGATAGAAATCAAACCAGCTGCTGATACTACTTGCATTTCTAATAATGGACATAATATTTCTGTCTGTGATTGTAGAAAGATTGAATCTGACCTCATCTTCACTCAAAGTTCGAGACAAGACAAAAGCGACATTACAGGAGGGAAAAGTAGTTTGATAACCAAAAATATGCTGGGATAGATCAAACGAAGAACCTGCAGTCGAAAGAGAGTTGCACTGAGAGAAGTAACTGGACAATTGGACATTTTCTAAGGCGAAAAGCTGTGCTGACGCCCATTTGTATAATATCTCAAGATGACGAACTGATAACTGGCTGGTCTGATTAGCATAATACGCCATAGTTCGAGACTGCCATTTAAAAGTGCTCTGTCCAGAAATAGAAACTGAGAATGGTTGAGTTCTAAAGTGGTTAATACGTGTAACCAAAGCGTTGAAGATACTCTCAATTTGATTCAAATTATAGCCATACAATGTAGAAGTATTTGTATTCAACAGCTCAGCAAGTTCGTACACTGTTACACTCAGCATATCAGCTCGACGCTTTATGGCTGCCGCGACGATATCTGGTACAAACAACGCCCATTCATCATTAATCACACGTAACGAGGAAAGATTCAGTTTCTGTTCCAAGGCTGTCATGTTGAAATAAAATTTCGTCTCCATTGTTGTAACCGCAAACTGGTAAATTTCTCCAATTGCTAATGTTGCAACGTTTGCCAAATTACCTGAAGTAAGACTAGTAGCATTAGCGATATCAGCATCCGTCACGGTATAACATTTATCTCGGCAATTATATAGCGGTGTTTGTTCAAGAATGGCTACTGAAAGTTGACCCCGCTGGAGAAGAACATCAGCGTCGAAAACCATGGTTTGGGCGGAAGACCCCACTATAACATCGAATGAACTGATGGCGGCTCCGACGGCCCTTGGTGTTTTCCAAACATTATAAGTAGTCACTCTATCGTAATAGGCCTGGTTTGCTGCCATGAAACCTTGCAAAAACGGTAAATTGAAGGTTGACAAAGGTTGCGTTAAGATGGGGACACGAAAATCTGCATACACCTTGTGAATAACGCTCAAACTGAGAAAGATAGGCAGAAATTTCATTCTAAAGAACGCAAAAAATGAAATCAAAATAAATTAATACACTTTATGCCACAAACTAAATTACATTATAATAGAGCATGCAATTGGTCGAGAAGCGTGCTTCTATAACTATCGATAAATTTTGGGCATCTTATTCTATTCAAAACCAATACCAGCCGAAAATTTCAAAAAATATAGCACAAAACATTATCCGAAGATTAGCATCTTGAAAACCAAAATAGGAGGCAAACAAAAAAGTAAGTGAGTAATGTTTCGATTTTATTACAAAATCATCATCAGACTATAACTATAGTTACAATACACATATATACATGGTCTTATATACAAGTTGGCAAGGCATGATGACATCATCAAACGGAAGTCTCAATCAGAACCACGCCAGGTGCAGTGAGAAGTAAGTGTGATAAAATGTGGGTGTATAGATTAAGAAAAGAGCTTAAGTTCTTTGCTGGCTTTGAGTCCAGTGTTTAAACTGGGTGAATGGTAGGTTACTTGATATATAGAGCTTCAAGCAGCAAGAGAAAATTAGGTGTGCGAGACTGATTAATAGTGTGAAAAATTCGAGAGTTGTCAATTATTAAGTTGGAAATAAAAGTGGAAACGTTATTGTCAGCGTCAGTTGGGTTGTTAAGTTTGTCAAAAGCAAAGTGTAGGTTAACAATGTATTGTACATGTTCGCAGTTGTGAAAATGTTGTCCAATAGCACTTTTGGTAGGATTGGTATGCTCAGAAGCTGAGAGAGTCGCCTCTGTAAACGTCTATCTGTTTTTCCAATATACGTTGCAAAAAAGCCAGGACATGTCACTTCGTAAACTACATTAGATTTCGAAAGATTCGGAATTTTATCTTTGTTGGAAAGAAAATATAAGAAAACTTTTTGTTGTCATAAATAACTATAAAATTTACAGGGACAGTTAGGCATCTTTTTATTTTCTTTATGCAGTTTTTAACTAAAGTTTCACCTTGTTTACCAAGGTATGGAACGCGTACCCAAACGCATGGGTTAGTGCCGTTTTCGTCAAAAAAGTTAGTGCGAGGTCGATCCGTAGAAAATTCGTTTTTGAGTTTGCATATCAATAAATTTCTTATCGCACGAGGAAAACATTAAATAATCTGCTTAACAGGAAATCCAAAACCACAATAGTTAATGAACTTAGCGTAGACCATGGAAAAAATGTAACATAAGATAAAGATATATAGTCGACGAGTTTAATAAATTCTTCACTTCTATAGGTCCCAAATTAGCAAATAACATTGCTGACAATGGCAGTAGTCCCGATACTTTGCCATATATAGATCAAGTCACAAATGTATTTCACTTTCATAGCATATCAAGCTATCGGCTGAAAGGAGAAATACAAAATATGCAAATGGAGATGAAGCCCTATTAAACGAGCAACAACTCGAAGAGACATCCCAAAAAAACGAGCAACAAATTAAAGTGATATCCCAGCCAAGGACTAACCAAACAAACATGCCGTGGGGTCAACAATCAAGTAACTGCCTGGTCAAAAGTCAAGCAGACGCAAAAACAAAGCTAGCGATCAACGGGAACAACAAACCGAACAAGACGGTCCCAACGTGCTTCCGAATTTAAGGGAAACAAATCAAACTGACAATCGCAATCGAACAGATAGTGCAGCAGCAGAATTATCCAAGCGAGACCTGAACAACAACAATTCAAAACCTGACGAGCGAAAATCAATACTAACAATTGGTGACTCGATTATAAAGCACATTGATCCAAATAAATTATATCGAAGAACGGTGCATAAATTCACCTATCGCGGAAAAACATGCGACGAAATTAGTGAAGCTATTGACAATACCCAGACAAAGATTGACCCATCTCATATTATTATCCATTGTGGTACAAATAATCTACCCATCGACTCTGCTGAGGTTTGTGCTACTAAAATTATAAATTTGGCTACGAAAGTAAGAAATAAATTTCCTAATGCTAAAGTCGGAGTGTCGGGACTAACCTATAGAGAAGACGTCTCAGTGAACCCAATACGCGTTGAAGTTAATGAAAAACTCAAACATTTATCAGTAATTCACGAATTTTCTTATATAGATAACTCAAAAATTGATAATACTTGCTTGAATAAAAGCAAGCTGCATTTAAACGATAAAGGGACATATTATTGGCGGTTCATTTCATAAAATTTGTAAGGGGACTTGCTAATAACAGCAGACGATCTAGTGATCGGGACAAAGGTTTTCAAATGGTACTGTGCAAACAGCTGGGGGAAATGCTTATGAAAATAGGGAACCTGAGACTAACATAACCCTGCAGGAAAATACAAAAATGTTTAGCCAACATGGTTCTACTGGGGACAGTGGTAAAGTATCGCTGCATAGCATCGCTAACATCAAAGGTTTTAAGCTTGCTTGTATTAATATAAATAGTTTATATAAACATATTGATGAGATTCGCTATATTTTGATGTCTAGTCCCTTGGAAGTGCTAGCTATTAATGAATCCAAACTTGATAATACTATCACTGACGGAGAAATACACATCCCCGGTTACGTTATAATAAGAAAACTTAGATCGAAATAGACATGGTGGAGGGGTATAGCTATATATGTTAAAGAGAATATATCTTGTTGAGCTAGACATGATCTTGCCCCTGCCCAACTAGAAATGGTCTGTGTAGAAATTAATCTTCCATATAGCAAATCGTTCTTGGTTAGTACATGGTACAGACCGCCAAATGCAAGTATAAACGTATTTGAAGATTACACGAAATTTGTTGAAAAATGTGATTATGAAAATAAGCAGTTGATTGTTCAGGGAGATATGAACTGTGACTATTTTAAAAATCCATCTGAATCACATACTCAAAGACTAAAATTTATATCATCTACATATCAGTTGCAACAACTGATTTCGTAGCCTACACGAATGACAAACAGATCAGCTACTTTAATAGACTTGATATTCACAAATGAGACAAGAAACATAGAAAAATCAGGAGTTATTCATAATGGTATGTCTGACCATAGTTTAATCTACGTTGTCCGCAGATTTATCCCATATAAGCGTAGACAAATCAAAAAAGAAGTACGAAACTTAAAACACTTTGTGAAGGAAAATTTCATCTGTGATCTGCTTAATATACCTTGGCAAACAATAGAAACTATTAATGATCCTAATTTGGCCTGGAAGGCGTGGGAAAATAATTTTAATGAGGTTTTAGATAGGCATGCGCCTCTGAGACTTCAGCGTATACGGCATATCGCAATTCCATGGCTAAATTCGAACATTAAAAAAATGATGCGTAATCGTGATTATCATAAAAAACACAATCAATTAAATATGGCTCTGAATACCACTGGAGACTTTATCAGGCCTCCAGTAACAGAGTCAATATTGAAATTCGGAAAAGTAAATCTCGTTATTACTGCCAAAAAATTGGCGAATGTAATAAGAACGATCCAAAAATTACTTCGAAACTAATTAATTCTCTTATTGGTCGTGCCAGTAAAACAAAACATGTTAATGAAATTGAAATTGACGATTAAATTATTCGCAACGATGAAAATATATCTGAAGCTTTTAATGAATTCTTTATTAATATTGGGCCTAAACTAGCTTCTGAAGTTTCAAATCAGTCAACAAATAAGGTTGAAACTTATTTGGAAAACAACAAGTTAATTATTCCATCCTTTCGTTTTATGTTTATTCCAGTGGATAATGTTTTGAAAACTCTAAGATTTCTAAATGTTTCGAAAGGCGCCGGTCTTGATAAAATTCCGGCTAGAATGCTACGCATTGCTGCAGATATAATTGCACCCTCTTTAACTTATATTTTTAATCTATCACTTTCAACTGGAGTGTTTGTAGAAAATTGGAAATATGCGAAAGTTATACCGATTTATAAGGAAGGCAACAAACGAACTTTGGAAAATTATAGACCAATATCAATTCTACCGATAATAAGTATAAGGTCTTCGAAAAAGAAATCTTTACACAACTTTACAAACATTTAAACGAAAATTGCCTTATATCCAAATTCCAATCCGGATTTCGACCAGGGCACTCTACAATTACAGCTCTAATTCAAATGTGCATGTGATAACTGGTACGAAAATATGGATAATGGCAAGTTAACAGGGGTAGTTTTCCTTGATATCAGAAAAGCTTTCGATTCAATAGATCATGTTAATCTACTTGAAAAACTAGCTTTCTATGGCGTTTCTCAACTTGCATGGTTTAAATCCTACCTCTCAAATCGGCAACAACAATGTCAAGTAAATGGCTGCCTCTCTAATAAAGGTGAAATAATTTGCGGGCTTCCACAAGGTTCCGTACTTGGCCCGTTGTTGTTCCTAATTTATATCAACGATTTACCCAACTGTCTAAAGACAACAACACTCTGTCTATACGCAGATGATACCCAAATTTTCGCCTCTTCGTACGACTCTGTTGCGCTGGTTAATGATATAAACTATGATTTAGAAAATGTCACAGATTGGTTAAATGTAAATAAACTCCAATCCCATCCTTCTAAGGCTAAGCTTATTGTCATAGGATCTAAATAAAATTTGACCAACAAAGTTGGTGAATTATACAACAGCATTATCATGAACAATAACGTAATTTCACCTGTTGTCTCGAATAAATGTTTGGGAGTTGATCTTGATGACAGATTGACTTTTGATATCAATATTGAAGAAATATGCAAGATCTGTTCAGGCATAGGAGCATTGAGGAGAATTAAACCATTCGTTCCGCACACCTCTCTTGTTACATTATACAAATCATTAATCCAACCATATTTTGATTATTGCTCTCCTCTGTGGGATACATGCGATAAAATATTAAAAGATAAATTGCAAATACTACAAAATCGTGCGGCTAGAGTTATCACTGGAGCAAGATATGATAATAGGATTAGATCAAGTGATCTTTTGGAAGGTTTAGGATGGGATAATCTACATGTTAGGCGGGCTAAGTTGAAGAGCATCCTAATGTATAAAACCCTTAATGAAAATTGTTCGCCATGTTTAAGAGAAAGCCTTGTATGACTTAGTGAACTTAATAGACGCCATAATTTACGAAATCAGGAAACGGGTCTAGCACTTCCAAAACCAAAAACTAATTTTTTGAAGAGAAGCTTTAAATATAGCACATCAATGCTGTGGAATAATCTTCCGTTAGATGCAAAAAGAGCGACTTCGCTCAGTCAATTTAAGCGTAGTATTGCGGAACTATCCTTTTAGAACCATGTTGACTTAATTATAGTTAACTCTCTTTATTTACTTTACTTGACTTTATTTTTCTCAGTTTGTTGTTGGGGGAGGTTGGGGGGTTCATATAATATTCCATATATTCTACTGTTTTATATATCACGCCCCTCCTGTAAATCAGCTTTTAGTTGTGCGAGGCTAGCATGTTTTGATTTTAAATAAAATTGATTGATGATGATGATGATGAGGACAGGAATATTTCCAGATGATTGGAAATTTGCCAAAGTGACTCCAATATATAAGTCAGAAGACAAAACCTTATGCGAAAACTATAGACCGAAATCAGTTACTTCGAATATCGCCAAAATATTTGAGAAATTAGTCTGTAGACAATTAAATACCTTCCTGGATAATAACAACATGCATAATTGTAAAAATCAATCAGGTTTCTTTCGCAATCACTCAAGCGAAACCTGGTTACTGCAATCTACTGAAATGTGGTTGAAATCAATGGACCAGGGTCAAATTAATGGGGTTATATTCTTAGACCTGAAAAAAGCATTTGATACGATTGATTACCAGATTCTATTGTCAACACTACAAGCTTATGGGATACGCGACCACACGCTCAAATGGTTCCAATCGTATTTGGATCAAAGAAAGCAAATTTGCATGTTAAATAACTGTAAATCTGATATTAAAACAATTCGTTGTGGAGTACCTCAGGGTCCAAATCTTGGACCTCTATTATTTCTCATTTATATTAACGACCTCCCAAACTGCCTAGAAACAACACACTCTAATTTATTTGCTGATGACCCAATTTAATCATTTCAAGGGCATTTATCCATAGATATTGAATACAAACTTAACAAAGACCTAGTAAATGCTCAAATATGGTTATCAGCGAATAAACTAAAATTAAACAACGAAAAAACTAAATATATGATTATTGGATCTCGGCAACGATTGAAAAACTTAGATCACGTGCCAAAAATCAGTATAAATGGACATCAAATTGAACGAGTTTATAAAAAAGAAGTAGATTTTGTTGGCCTAAATACGCTAAAAATTATGTATAACGCATTAGTCATGCCTCATTTTAGCTACTGTTCAACTGTTTGGCAAAATAACAACCAAACACACTTAGACAAATTGTATAAGCTTCAGAAACGAGCAGCAAGAATAATAACAAATTCGGACTATACTATAAGATCTTCGGACATTTTTCAAAAACTTAGCTGGAAACCTCTTGACTTAATTTTGAAAAATCGAGATCTTTTTATGACATTTAAAGCGATTAATGGCATGCTTCTAGAATACGTAACACAACTATTTCACACTTGTGAAAACAGTGGTTACGTAGTAGTAATTTAAAGGCGCAGTAGTAATTTAAAGCTGTCTCAACCTAAACCAAAAACGAATTTCTTGAAAAAATAGCTTTTCGTACAGGGAAGCAGCGTATTGGAACAACATCCCAATAAACTTGTTGAAAACCCTAAAAGAGTCAACAAGTTTAAAATCTGTCCATCATCTATTAAATAATCACATCTTAGCCCCGAAATTGACCAAACCTGCCAAAGCCGGCCGAGTACAAGCCGAGTATACTTTGCTTTGACTAAATCCGTCTGATTGGGTTTTTTGTCGCGTGATCGCTTTTGAATTCTTAATATAAAAGCTCATGTAATTTTCCCGACCCCCGCTAGTGACTCCAGACAAAGGGCCTTCCGTCGAAATTCTCCTTATATATTTTCAGGTAGTTGCATCCCTACCAAAGAAAGCTTGTTCATTTATATTAATTTATTTACACTACCTACACTGGCAAAGACAGTTAATATTTAACATGTCTTTGACTGTGGGGGTGGTACCTCTTAAGTGGAAAGTGGCAAACATCAACCTGTATTAAAACCGGGTGATCCAACACATGCAGTCGATGAACTATAGGCATATCTCTTACTTTGTTACTCTCTCCAAGGTACTAGAACGTTGTTTTCACAATCATTGCTGCCAGCATCATGAGCTAGATATTTACGAATTGCAGCATGGTTTTATAAGCGGAAAATCTACAACGCACAGCTAATTTAATTAGACCATGACATCCTGGAGTCTGTGGCAAGCGGGAGTGAAGCTGATGCCTTATAAAAAGCCTTCGACAAGGTTTCACATCATCCAGTTTTATGTAAACTTGAAAATTTGGGAATAACAAGATCTCTACTATCTTGGGGCGCTTTCCATTTAATGGCCTGACCGGTCAGACCCGAATTGTTTTCTCTGTATGAATGGAAATGTCTGGTCTATATTTCTCAAATATCTAGCGAAAACGGACCTCATTCTAATGTTATCTAAAATTTCCGGTCACATAGGTCCGAAGCCTAAACGTTTTGTGTTCCATTCAACAACTCGACCGTTCTGACCGTTTTGGCCGTGTTAATGGAAAGCGCCCTTGGTTCCAAAGCTACCTCACAGACAGACGAGTTGCTCTCCACGGTATTTGCCTAAAAGACGGAAGCCTTTCGTAGCATATCGGATGTGCCACAAAGTTCTATACGAGGACCTTGTTATTTCTGGTTTACTGCAAATACCTATGACATTCAAATTTACATGGAAAAATAATCTACATTTGCATTATTTGCGGATGATTCCAAACTTTATCAACCACTTGTGATTCTCACATCTACTACTAATAACATTACTTCAACATGATCTTGCCAATTTGATAAACGACACAAAATGTAATGCCATGCACATCTCAAAAAAAAGGACGCCTGCATGCTCATACTAATTACAATATTAGCGGTTATACAATCGAACAAGTGCTGAACATCAAGGATCTTGGTGCAACAATATATCCTGGTCCAACATATCCAACAATTTATCCTGGTCAAAACACATCGAAAATAGTGTATCTATTGCAATCGGATCAAAAGAATCTGCAAAGAATGGTTGCCCCGAATTTTATTATTATTTAACAAGTTCTCAGCTCGGTTTTCGAAGATAAGAAATATATAAAAGAGATTTTTCTCAGTTCAATCAAACTGATTTAATTGAGGAAATGAAAATAATTAATTGGGAATTAGAGTTCATGGATAATTTCGACCTAACTAATATGTTTGATACTTTCTAGTCACTCAAATTATCAAAACAAGTCACTCAAATTATACAACTTTCCAAAAAAATCTGAAGTTTAAGGAGCCTCCCTACAGCTTCCAATATATATCAGTGTTTTAAACTAAAAGCTATTTGAATCTAAAAAACTAATTTTTTGTTCCCTCTTATACAAAAAGTAATTTTAACCCACAAGCGCTACTCTTCATGTTACCATGACAACATGACGTCACCATCTATATGGTCTATATCAACCAAAACAGCCGTCTTAGCGGACAAATAACATGCACGGTGACCTACCTTTTTTATTGCAGAAAATACTTTGTTATGAAGTTTTGAATCTTTTTTGAAAGTTATTTGAAAAGCGCCATTGTAGTTTTAATTCGAGAGACTGAAGGCTGAAATTCAATCTCTCGAAAACTATACACCAGTGATTTTCAAATAACAAAGCTTCATAACAAGTATTTTCTGCAATAAAAAACTGCTAGGTCACCGTGGTTATTTGTCCGCTAAGGCCCGTTTTATACGTCGAATTTTGGTCGCGTCGAATGCAATTCAAACAATAGATAATGAAGCTTAATGAGGTTTATCATCTCATTAACTATTGTCTTAATTGCATTCGACGCGACCAAAATTCGACGTATAAAACAGGCCTAAGACGGCTTTTTTGGTTGGCAGATATACCGGGTGTAATGGCCTACGTAAAAACTATAAAAGCTATTGAACTCAAATAAGTTTTGTTGTATTCAGAAAGGGTTAGCTTAGATCTTGAAATATAACATTTGAATGTCCGTGCAACATTTACTGAGCTATCGATGTTTTAAAATTGAAAAACATATTTGACAATGTTAAATATTATTGCTATCAAATATTGTTTAGTTAACCGGTCCTTGATATATAGTTTTATTGTGGCCAAAAGAACGAAAAAAACCCGAATAAACAACTCATTCGTCTTAGACAATTAAACAATTTATTCATTCATCATCTAACGCAAATTCCATATCCAGATTTTAATTTTTCCACGCTTTCTCCTATAAGAGCAGTTATATGGTTCTCTTCCGATCTCAACGCAATCCTTGAATCAAAACAAGAAAATGCTAGCTTTTCACTTCTGCATGTAAATGCTCGCAGTTTGCTTAATAACTTTGATGATCTAAAATCTCTTGCAGCAAATAATCGCCAATCGTTCACTGCAATAGGTATCTCTGAAACCTGGTTGAATGATACTACATCAGACAGAGTTAATCTCCCTGGATATAACTTTTTGTCTTGTCATAGAACTGCGAGGTCCGGCGGTGGGGTTGGTTTGTACTTGCGGAATGATCTTGAATATCGAATATGCTCGGAGTGTAACTTTTCTGAACCAAATATGATTGAGTCGTTGTTTGTTGATATATTCGTACCAAATAACAAGAACATTGTAGTTGGTATAGTTTATCGATCACCAAACCGAAATTTATCTTTATTTTTGGTAAGTTTAATGAAATTCTTTCTACCATTTCAAAAAACAACAAGCACTGTTACATAATGGGAGATTATAACATAGATACAGTATGTACTGCCCAAACGAGCTCATTTCTCAACTAATGAATTTGTTGAAAATCTGTTTTCCCATATGCACTTGCCTTTAATAAGTATGCCGACGCGCATCACAGCACATTCGGCAACGCTTATTGACAATATTTTTACCAACCATTTGACACAACATTTATTCGCGGAATTATTATTAATGACCTGTCAGATCATTTACCGGTCTTTGTTTATGTCTTTACAGAAACTCCTCCCCCATCTAATAGTGCTGAAGAATAATCATTCTTAGGGACTTTGGTGATAGCAAGATTATCAAATTTCGTTCACATCTTACTAATGTCAATTGGGAAAATCTCCCTAACCAATCTCACAAAAAACTCGAACAAACCATTAACATCTTGGATGACAAGAGGGCGATTAACCTGTGTCAGGAAAAAGAATAAACACTATAAAAAGTCCTGACAAAGAAAGACAAAACATGTACAAGAAATACAAAGCTTATTCATTTGATTAAGATTGCTAAGAAAACATATTATGGGAACAAAAATTTGAAACTGCAAAAAACAATCACAAAACAATTTGGAAGCTAATAAACGAAGTAATTAATAAGCGTAGAACAAAAACCTCACTGCCTTCCTCGTTTATATCAAATAATACCCTTCTCTCCGATCCTAAAGACATTGCTAACAGGTTTCGAAAATATTTTGCTAGCATTGGCCTTGATCTTGCAAGTAAGATTCCTGAGAATTGAAATAAGATTCTTTCTTTCCTAAATTCAAATAGCGAAGAATCTATTTCACTTCATCCGACAAATGCAATCATTTGCATTTGTCGGATGAAGTGAAATAGATTCCTCGCTTTTAGAAATCTGTAATTCTTTTAAGACAGCTAAAGCTCCTGGTTATGATAATCATAGTTAATATATATGACATGGTTTGGAAACCCTTTGTTTTAGGTGATTGTGTACCTTGTGCAGGGTCACGGTTGGAAAATCCTTTGTCTTTCTATTGTTTTGACAATAGTCATTTCAAACAGCTGGCGTAAGGAATGGGTACCAACTGTTTGTTTTGCCTACCAGAGCTATATCTTGCGGCATATTTTGCCAATAACGAAGTATGACTACCATTTTTCGATGGAGAATGTTTGTGTTACATCATTTGGTCAATGCTCTTTGATTAAAACCAATATGTGCCGGGTCAAACAGACTGTTCAACCTCCATGTTTGTTTATAGCGTAATTTCATTGAAGTTTGCTGAGTTTCATAACCAGGTCTTATAACAACCATGTGATAATAAGACAAACGTCATCCTCGCGCGTACGAGTGCGCGCGAAGGAACTCCTTAAAAATTTGCTTTTTTAGTAGTCCAAAAACACTGTTTTGGAGTAAAAACGTATAATAAAGTCGTCTATAAGAGTATCGGCAGGAACTTGGACTTGTGAATTTCTGGAGAGTTTGATTCAAGAAAGCGTCGTTTGGAGTGTTTTATTTCTTCGAAAGTCAGGGGATTCTTATTTTAGCATTTTACGCCAGTTGAACGTTTCCTTACGCCACACGTCATTGTCATCAATGGTCATCGCAAATACGTAATTAAATCCGTACTTCATCGAACTACGTGAGTTCAATAAATTAATACAAACAGAATAAATCACGTGAGTGTAAGCTTTGAATTCAGAAATGGTTTTAAAAAACACTTCAGATGGAAAAAAAAGTCTAGTTAAGATTTGACGCTTCATAATTAACATGTTACTTCTTTTTTCAATTTTGAAACTGTCTGTGAAAGTTAATCGAGACGCTAATAAGACCCAAATTACATGAGAAAACATTTTAATCTGCTCCGAACTTGTTTCTCTGCCCGAAAAACTATGCTATGTTTGGGTTTCCACCGGTGATGTTGTTTTCAGAAAGTATAACTTACCATGCAATAACCAGCATCGCTACGGCTTACACTTACAAATTAACCACAAGATCTCACATGCGTCTATATTACTCTTGCTTGCCGGAGATATCGCAACGAATCCTGGACCTTACAAACACACGAATCGTGAAAACCAGTTCGTAAAATGTCTCGCACTCAATGCTCGAAGTCTGATGAGTTTACATAAAACCAACATCGGAAACAATTTGACAGATACTAACATTGAACGCTTCCAGAACTTGGTCTATTCTGAAGGTCCCGATATTGTTTGTGTCAACGAAACGTGGCTTAATGAGGATATTAAAAACTCTGAAATTCTGCATTCGGGATATGACATATTCAGGAACGATCGAGGATCTCGTGGTGGTGGAGTACTGTTAGCGATAAAGATTTCATCATTTAAATCAGTGCGGGAAATTCAACATGGTCATGATTTGGAGATCTCCATGGCTGAAATAACAACCACTTCAAACGCAAGTTTATTAATTTGTTCTTGTTATCGTCCACCAAAACCAGATCATAGCTGGTTGGACAAGTTCAATAACTTTATGAGTGATGTACGTTTGTTTGGGAGACTCAAACATTGTGCTTGCAGGAGATTTCAATATGCCACATGTATCATGGGGCTCGCCAGAGAAAACATCAGGTAGTAACGAAAATACCTTCGTAGAACTGCTCCATTACAATTTCTTGGAGCAACTAAACACCGACCTACTAGAGGTAATAACACGTTAGATCTCGTTCTTACCAATATTCCCAACAAAGTCAAAATATGCGAAATTTTGTCTCCCACTCAAGCAGAACTTTTCACCGATCACAACATTATTGTGTTTGAATTTTCAATGTGTTATAATCAACTACCAAAGATACGCAGAACTGTCTATAATTATCGTCGAGACGATTTTGCTGGCTTACGAACTTCCCTTGAATGTCTAAATCTGGATTCCCTGATTACAACCGACGACAATATCAACCACGACTGGCAACAATGGAAGAAGGCGTTCCTAGAAGCAGTATCCCAACACATACCATCAGTGAGAGTAAAGGGTCGCAACTATGTACCGTGGATGAATTCTACAATTCTACACAACATCAAGAAGAAAAACTCTCTCCGCCTCAGAATTAGGAAATCCCCTACACCTACTGAATATCTCCTGGAGAAATTCAAAACCCTTCGTAGCTCCATCAAGAGTATGTTACGTAACAGTCGCTACAAATATTTCGACTCTATTTGTTCCAGCCGTGGGCTTAATCCCAAACGCTTCTGGTCCCTGTTCAAGTTCAATAATAAGACACGCAACATTCCTCAAAAGCTCTCGGTGAAAGTAACTGAAACCAAAAGAACATCCGCAGGAAATCCAGCAGATATTGCTGCGCTCTTCAACAACTACTTCACATCTATATTTACCACCGATCCAAATATCGAAAACTACAGCCCTGACGCTCTTCCATATCAGTCTAACAATACTATCATCGAGGACATTACCCTTTCGGAAGCCGATGTTTTCTCCATATTGCATAATCTCGACATTAATAAAGCTCAAGGTCCAGATGGGATTCCTGCACGATTATTAAAAGAAACAGCTCGTCAAATTGCTCCATCACTAACTGTCTTGTTTAATAAATCTCTGAACACTGGTGTGTTTCCACGCAACTGGAAACTAGCAAATGTTGTTCCCGTCCACAAAAAAGACAACAAAGATCACGTGGAAAACTATCGACCAATTTCGCTTCTTTCGCTTATCTCGAAAGCATTGGAAAGATGCGTGTTCAATAAGATCAAAGACCACGTTTTCGAACAGATTAACAACGGTCAACATGGCTTTGTTTCTCGGAAGTCCTGTGTTACACAACTCATTGAAGTCTTTGAGTATATTGGTCGTGAACTGGATCTTGGGAAACAAGTTGATGTGATCTACTTGGATATGTCCAAGGCGTTTGATCGAGTAAGTCACATGCAACTGTTGAAACGACTTCGTGATTTTGGATTCGGTGGAAATATTCTTAACTGGTTTAGATCTTACCTCAAGGACCGTCGGCAGCAGACTACAGTACCTGGTGCAACATCATCAGCACTACCAGTAACCTCCGGAGTCCCCCAAGGCTCAATCCTTGGACCGCTGCTGTTCCTATTATATCAGAATAATCTCCCCAACTTCATCAACCACTCGAAGATCGCGACGTTTGCTGACGACACAAAGATTTACAAGGTGATAAACGCGAAGGCTGATGCATCCGCTATGGAGAATGATCTTGCGAATTTCCAAACCTCCTCTGCCAATGCTAATCTTCTCCTCAACACAGATAAATGCAAGACACTTCGAATTACTAGAAAACGCAACAAAATCGATCATACTTACAAGTTGCAAGATTCCGCTCTGAAAACCACAGATTGCGAACGCGACCTCGGCGTCTGGACTTCCTCCACCCTCACATGGTCGAAACAAGTCCTCCACCAGTGCGCCCAAGCCAACAAATCCCTCGGGTATATTCGACGGTCCACGATCAAAATCAAGACCATCTCTGTTCGTCGGACTCTATATCTTACCCCCGTTCGTTCCCACCTCGCATACGCGTCCCAAGTTTGGGCTCCACAAACTGTTGACCTCATTAAGCGTACAGAACGCGTTCAACGACGTGCGTCGAAGTACATAGTGAACCTACCGTTCTTCTGTGACATCAACTATAACCATCGTCTCTCAACATTAAATCTACTACCTTTGTGTTACTGGCACGAGTACCTAGACATATTGTTCCTTTTCAAATCACACCATAACATTATTAACCTAAGCAGCGACATCCTACCACACCCTCAAAATTCAAGTCAACGTACCCGATCTACAAACCCTAACTGCCTACAATTTCAGACTTCAGCATGCAAAACATGTACCTATCAAAAATCATATCTAATAAGGACTACTAGAGTCTGGAACACACTGCCAATGGATTTAACTATTAATAGCATGGCAACTTTAAAGGACTTTAAAAATAAGTTATTAATCTATTATAAAACAGCACTAGATAAATGTTATGACGTTGACGATCCACGAACATGGAAATCGGTTTGCTTAAAATGCAACCAAGCTCGCGACCTTACAAGGCCGATAACGTGTTGTTTTTAGATTTAGTTTTCAGAAGTACCTTTTCACATTGGTATCTATGGAGCCTGTTCAGGGTTTTTCTGAAGGTTTAGGATTGTGAGGGTTTCAAACGTCTTCTGACTCAGTCAGCTTCCAAAAATGGAAGTGGTTCTGCGGGACGCAATGTGAAAAGTTGCATCTGATAGTTCGTTAGTAATTGATTCTTTCTATGTACGTATATAGTGTATTTGTCTAACATTTAGGGATCGCAGTAATTAGCGCAAGCTGTTGCGATTGCTCTGCCAGTTTTTTGTGTTAACGTTGTTTAAATCTGGCAAAGTTAATAAATAAAATAATCTATCCACGTATGTAATCAAAATATTTATTGACCTAATAGTAGAACCTCTTGTTAATGTTATAAATCTCTCTTTGTCCAAAGGGGTCTTTCCAAGTAAACTAAAGATAGCTAAAATTATACCAATTTCCAAAACCGGAAATCAAAGTTTCTTTACAAACTATTGACCTATATCACCCCTGAAAAACTTTTCAAAGTTATTTAAAAAAGTTATGCAAATCAGGTTAACATTATTCATTGAGCAATGTGAAATTTTGTATAGATTTCAGTTTGGTTTTCGCAGTAAACATTCTACTATGCATTTATTTGTTTCTCTAATAAATAATGTTCGACGGCCATTGATCGGAACCAGATAGCTGCTGGAGTGTTTATTGATCTTTCAAAGGCTTTTGATAGTTTAGATCATGAAATATTGTTTACTAAATTACAACATTATAGTATAAGAGGCGTTGCACTTCAATGGATCAAGAGCAATTTCTGCAATCGTGAACAATTTGTTCAATATAATGAAACCTGTTCCTCCATGGAAAAATTAAAATGTGGAGTTTCGCAAGTTCTATTTTAGGCCCATTATTTTTTATTTTATATATCAATGATCTACCGAATGCACTAGAACTGTTAAAATCTTATTTTTTTGCTGATGACACTAGTATATATTTTTCAAATTCGGATATCAAGCAGCTTGAATTTGTTTTGAACAGTGAACTTCGAAAGCTGGATATCTGGATGAAGTCAAATAAATTGTCTGTGAACATCAGTAAAAGAAATTATATCATTTCTCGCCCGAGACAAAAAAAATAAATTTAAATCTAGTTATTCAATATAACAATCAAATGATCACCCAAAAACAATATATAAAATTTTTAGGAGTGTATATAGACGAACATTTGACATGGAAGGAACACATTAATTATATTTGCAATAAAATCTCCAAATCTGTTGCAATTATTTACCGATCTCGATATCAACTGTCATTCGCAACAAGATTATCCTTGTACTACACACTTATGTATCCCTATCTTACTTATTGTAATATAGTATGGTCTTCCACTTATGAAACCAACCTCAATAGAATTCTTCTTCTACAAAAACGAGTTGTACGTACTCTTACAAATTCCGATTACCGTGCACACTCTGATCCACTTTTTAATTAAACAACTCAAAATATTGGATATATTTAAGTTAAATTCATTTCACATTGGCAAGTTTATGTTTTTATATCATCATTGCATATTACCAACATGCTTTGATGAATTGTTTACAACAAACAATTATCAAATACATGGTTATAACACCAGATCTGCTGGTAACTATAGATCTCATGCTTGTCGAACTAATATTAAGCAGTTCACCATTTTATACTCAGGACCGAATATTTGGAATTCTTTACCTACAAATATAACTGTGATAAACACAATCTCGTCTTTCAAGATCAGTGCAACTTCGTAATTTTTTGCTTAACGAATAACAATGTTAAACAGCTAGCTCTGATATGCTATGACCATGTTTATCGAATATTCAGTAAGAATATATAAAATTATTGGAAAATCTATTACATAATTTCGTAAATTTTCTCTCTTAACTTCAATATGTTTCAATTTCATTATATATGTCTGTAAACTTAATTTCAATTTCATTATATATGTCTGTAACTGAAACTATATCATACTGATAAATTAAATATTTAACTTCGAATTTTGAGGTGGGGTGGCCTATTTACACAAGCTCTAAGCTTCTTGAGGTCTCCTCGCCGACTTTACTTTATTAATATCTTGTAAATAGCAAACAGTCTTTTTTTGCCAAATAAATCCAATAACCAATAACCAATAACCAAAGTATATCCTATTTCAAGTATACAATGTCTTGCACGAGAAAACGTAAAACTCAAACTTCTTGATCCTTTGTTATAGTCGAGGCATATTCGAAAGGCGAACGAAGACTAACTTTATCATACGAGTCCCGAAGGACGTCAAATATGATTTCGAACCGTTTTAAATGTTTCATGCTTATTTCGCTTCCTAAGAAACACGAAAGACTAACATATACTAGGACAACACCCGAAATTAAAGTTGAGTTGAAATGCTAAAATTGAAATTGTTAATTTTTGTGGAAAATGGCAATTAGGGACCTGTCATTATTTATGGCAGGGGTGCGGGACGAAGAGAAAATGGTGGGGTAACTGAAAAATAATACTTACTATGATGGGTGGGGTGGCCAAAAAATTCTTGTATGCAGAGGTGGGGTAAAAAAATAACCATATTTTAATCGCACACAATACAATATATACTACCATGGATAATAAAATAAATGGATACGACTCTAGCTGACGTCACAGTCTAAACCTAGTTGCAATCTGTGACGTCACGCGTATTGCCAAAGTTCTCGGCTTTTTTGTTGTTTCGCTATATTTCCGCTTTAAAAAGTAATATTGAAGCATAAACTGGTCTAATTGTTTTAAAAACATGTCTAAGCCACGACAGAAGGCAAGAAGAATCAAGAATAAATTCTTGATTGTTGCTACACCTAAATCTCTCCAAGACTCTAAAAATTAACTATCAAATTATAAATAAAGCTCTCGTGGTGATCCTAATAGAATTTCTTTCACACATGGTTGTCTAGAACTCTTAATTTTTTGGATTATATATCTTTTGGTCGCGCATGTCTATCGTTACAAAGCGTATATATATTACATATCTTGGGATTTTTGCTGCGCAACGAGGAGTGGTTTGATACTTATATTTGATTATCCGCACTGTATATCCGCGATCAAGCATATTGTCAAGTTTTCGTGAGCTTTGTTGGAATATTTTCTAAAATATTTTGGCCATTGAAACTTTTTGAATTTAATTAAATCCCGCCGGCGTCATTTGTCATGGTAACAACAACTAATCATTGAAGCTTTGAATACGGAATAATAACTAGTTCGTTTCACGAGCGATGACCGGAAAACATAGCTATACGCCACAACAAACGTATTAAGAGCTCTTAATTTTTCTCAAGCACGTCGTATGAGAAAAGAGTCCATGTCGCTGTCAATACAACGAACTGTACGCATTTCTTCTACATTGTTGCAGATATCGTCTTTACCATTACTATTGGTTCTTCTGGCGAACGACGTTCATTCGAATCCTGGTCCATTCCATTCTAGACCTAGTGATGCCTCTTCACTTAAATTAAAGTTTCTCTATCTAAATGCGAGAAGTTTAAAGGCCTTTGCTCCACATGACAACAGTGACGTTTACTCATCTAAAGTTTGTAAGATCACTTTATTGCAGCAGCTTGTTCACGGCACTTTTTATGACGTTGTTTGTACATGTGAAACTTGGCTCAATGAATCAATTTTAAGCAGTGAATTATTACCGGGATATTCTATTTTTCGTCGCGACAGAATTGGGAAGGTTGGTGGAGGTGTTCTTGTAGCTGTAAGAAATGGTATACAAGCAACTCATCGACTGGATCTCGAGCCTGAAAGTAGTGAACTTGTTGCAACTGAATTAATTGCGTCAAATAAAAACATATTTCTATTCACGTTTTACGGACCTCCTAACTCCACATCTGACAACATTAACCAGTAATGCAAGTTACAGTGGAAAGATATGTTCTTAACTGCAGGTGAAAGTTACATCCCAGTAATATTAGAGTGATACTAACTCTCCACCTTGGATTGACGGGGAGGTTCAGCATTTAATCCGAAAGAAATGCACAGCGCTAAAGAAATATCGTTTGGTCAAGTCAGATTCTCGAAAGTTGAAACTACGTACTTTGAGTAAAAAAATCAAGTATGCTATCAGATCAAACGACAGCGAGTATTTAGCCAAAATTAAAGCCTCCTTTAAAGATAACCCTAAACTATTCTGGAGTTATCACAAATCTATCCTTCACCATCAAGAGAACCAGGGTCCTAAGATTGCATACAATGGTGTTACAGCTAAGACAGCAGCTGCTCGTGTTTTTCCTCGGTATTTCTGCCACCAGAAACTAATGTTAGTCCTGATGTAGATGATAACTCATCTCCTCTAAGCACCATCATGCAATTTTCGAACATTACAATCTGTGTTGATGACGCTGAGTCCTGTATTCACGATCTTGATACATCAAAAGCATGTGGTCCAGACGGCATTCCATCACGCCTATTGAGAGAATGCAGCCAGGAAATCGCACCCTGCGTCTGTGCACTGTTCAACCGATCTTTAAATGTTGGTCGAATTCCTTCTGAGTGCAAATCAGCTAACGTGACGCCCATCCACAAAATTGATTTAAGAGAACTTGCAGAAAACTACAGACCGATTTCGTTGTTGCCAATTCTCGGAAAGGTCATGGAACGCTGCATTTGAAACAAATTCTACGGTCATTTCAAGCATCTCGTTACCAAGTTACAACATGGGCTTTTACGAGGTCGCTCGTGTGTCATACAGTTTCTTTCAGTTCTCCATTCAATCGCACAATGCCTTGATAAAAACGTCCAAACAGATGTTCTTAACCTTGATCTCGCCAAAGCGTTTGACTCTGTTGATCACCAAATTCTTCTTAAAAAACTGAAATCCTATGGTGTTACGGATCAACTACTACCTTCTCCGCAGGCGCTTAGGGAGCATTTCGGGCAGGTTCGGAAAATGCGAGCCAACGGCGCGGAGCGCTGTTCCTGGCGTAAGCCCGGGGCGAGGGTACTAGTTCCCCCGGCTATTTACACCCGGGCAAACGAAAGCATTAGCGAAGTCTAAAGTTCTTCAATGATCGCGGGCGTGGCTCACCAACGGTATTGAGTGGGTGGTCATCCTCACTGATCTCAAAAATATGGCCGATTGCTTGTAGGAGTGAGATAAGCAAGATTTTAATTTTAAAAGACATATATTTGGAAAATCGTTTCATATACAAAAAGCTTGAAGCATTTTTGTTTGAAGATATGAGAAGAATTGATTTGCTATGGGGAATCGTGAAATATACGGCAAGTTTGTTTTGAATATTTAATATTTACCAATTTTGTTGCTTTAACTTTTTGCCTAAAAACATGAACTGTTTTTCTTTTTAACAAAACACTAAGTTTCATAAATTACCGTTTAATTTGAGAAAAAATCTTGAAATGTAAAGGAGAACAAATTGATTTGAAGACTGAACTGAAATTGCCTAACAATTTGTTTTATTTGTATTAAACTTATTATGTTTTATTAAGTGAAAACAGTTTATCGGCAAATGTAGTTTAGTTGAATAAACATTTCGAAACATTTTACGAAGCGTTTCAAGTTAAATTTTACATTAAATCAAAACTCACAAAATGCAAAATAATATACCTACAGTATATGTTTCGTAAATTTATTGTTGTATAGTTGAAAGAACGAATCTTTGAACTATTTGGCAGTTTTGTACAAAAAATTTGAAAAAAATAGAATATTTGCTTGCGAATAGGAATTTTATGTCTGTCATCTTGTTATTATTGTCATATTAATTAACTCTGCCACGGGTGTGGAGGAAACCTGCTTTGCAAAGATAAAACTTTAGCTGTAGGCAAATAGTTTAACTGATGGAACAACTCGATTATTTACAGGGTGCTGTCATATAGACGCACTCAAACATTCTACGGTCAGTCGCTTATAGTCAGCTGTCGAGGCACGTCATTAATCTTTTCAGAAGTAATTTTTATACATTGCGATTTTCTCGTGAAGATTGTTTTCACTATTTTCACTATATATTCAGGTGAGTTTTTCCTTTATAACGCTAATAGTATATTCGAGCAACATTTCTTGCGGTCACGATTAATTTTACTGGTATATATCTAGCGCTGACATGAAGTCTATATATAGTTTACAATGGCTGTTTCGTCCACGGGCACTGATATACCTAAGGTACTGATTTTGGGCCATTCATTTGTGCGTAGACTTCGCAGTGATCTACATGCACGTTTTGACGAGCGGGCAGCCAAAAATTTTGACCTGCAGGGAACGGCCGAAATATTTATGCATGGCGTGGGAGGTCGAACAGCTCCAAAATTAAGAAAGATGGATATGGGGGTAATCACTAGAATATACCCTGATATAGTCATTCTCGATATCGGGACGAACGACTTAGCTCTTGTCCCACCTGAGGTAGTGGGTTCTGACATCGAGGAACTTGTTCGCTCGTTGGTCGCGGAGTATACTCCGTGCGCGCCGTGGTTTTATGCCAAGTCACTCCACGTGCGACAAACAAGAGCTCTAATTTTAATGAGAGAGCCAAGCTTTTGAACCAATACACCCGGGTAGTGATCGAGCCCATAGAACAAGCCATTTGTTGGACGCATAGAGGTTTCTCCAACCCATCCGTAACCCCCTTTTTATCAGACGGGGTACATTTTAACCCCATGGGACAATATACCTTGTACAGGAGTTACCGCGGAGCGATAAAACACGCCGAAGGAGCAATACGGCAAGATGGTAATTGATATGGTTACGTTAAGTCTGTTATTTAAATTAGTATTGAGTATTTTATGCGAACTGTGTATTTTCCCTTGGAGCGAAGCTTTGTTCCAACGGTTGTTAGATTTGTATAATATGTGTCCTATATCCTCCGCTATTGTATGTCATCTGATTGAGGACCTGTCTTATATCCTCTGATGGAGGATTTGTATTATATCCTCTTGTTGGAGGAGTCGTCTGATCTCTGGCCTCTAATGGGGGATTTGTCTTATTTCCTCTGTTTGAGGAGTTGTCTTATATCCTATATATATATATATATATATATATATATATATATATATATATATATATATATATATATATATATATATATATATATATATATATATATATTAATTAATGAAACCAAAGATGATCAAATTTTACAGTGCAGAAAGAGTGCTCAATACCATTTAATAACGTAGAGCAAATAATTTAATTTGTTAACTTAAAATATAGTCACAACTTTGAGTTTCACGCTCAATGCGATCTTCAGGCGACAATGTTTAAATCTCAATAAAAAATTCCTGTATGATTACGTGGGAGTTCGTCAGGCTACTTGCGTGATGGTATTGCGTGCGCACGTTCAAATTTTCCCAGGAATATTGCTTCCGGTGGCAACACTTCGAGAATAGCTCACATCTTCTATTCAGCAATCTTTTCTTATCACCTTTCAAAACTTCGAGTTTCTCTTGGAGGCATAGGTTGCAACCTTTTGCGCCGCTGCGATAAGATGATGCTTGCTTCAGAATGGACCACTTGATGTTGAATGTACGTTTCTTGTTTTTCAAGTTCCAAATGTGCTCGTATCTTTGAATGATGTCTTGTGGTTGTAATAACGTTTCTTGAACGTGTTTGATGTCATCCCAATATAATCTCGAATTACTCCTGTGTCTTCCGTAACCTCGGCTTTATAAACAACGCTCTTTGTCTAGGCAATTATTGTTTAAGGGACATTCAGTGCTTTCTATGCAGTTACAGTTGTCTTTGGTAGATGCTACAACAAAACTTTTATTCTTTAAAAGGTTACCGAGGTTATGTTTAGAGATGACGCTTTTACAGGTCTTGATTTTAAAGATCTTGTGTAGCGGGTTAGACGCAGGGAAATGTTTGTCGATCAGGTTTAGAAAGTTTCTACCAACATTTGTTCTTACATTTTTGCTAAAAGGTGGGTTAAACCAAATTATACTCTCGTTCTCGTCCTATTCTTCTGTTTATTATTAGGGGAGTAGCGTAAATTTGTTGGGTAATGACTACGGTGGAGCGCGGCTTCATAAAGAGGTGCAAACTTCGGGAAAGCTTCTTGATTCGACGATAACTGAGAAATTCGGTTGCCAACAGAAGATGGTAGATGCTTTGTAATTGAAGGAGGATGGTTTGAATTGACTGTCAATGAAAACTGGTTCATTGTTAGGCTTTCGATAGGGTTGGTAGCTTTCATAATTTAAATTTAAGGTAATATCTAGGAAGTTGACAGAATTGGTGGGTAATTTCTGTGGTGATTTTCAATTGAAACTCATCGAAAAGTTGGTGGAGATCTTTTCTAGCTTTGTCAGCAAGCCGGGCAGAAGTACCTCGTAGTAGGATTAAACCATCGTCTCGATAAAGGCCGACGCGATCTTCACCATATTTCTTTGCCAAGGTATTGAGTATAAATAGGCCTATAAGCTCGCACACTTCTGCTCCATAAAAACTGACCATGGTTACGTCAAACAAGGAATTGTTTTGTTGTTTGATCCAAGTTTTACCGTCATTGAACAGAAGCGATTTTCTTGCGTGTTTAATTACATTGATCTGCTTATCATCGATATTAACATACCCGCGAGCCCAAGTGATGGCTTTGTCAAGAAGTTCCTCTGTTATTGATGGATAAAACATTTTTTATTGAGATTTAAACATTGTCGCCTGAAGATCGCATTGAGCGTGAAACTCAGAGTTGTGACTATATTTTAAGTTAACAAATTAAATTATTTGCTCTACGTTATTAAATGGTATGGAGCACTCTTTCTGCACTGTAAAATTTGATCATCTTTGGTCTCATTAATATTATCAAAGCACCTGTTATACGCGGTTGTGCACTCTTGTTTATGTGTAATCACAAATATTTAAAATGAATCAGATCCGGTTTAATTATTCCTTGAAGAATATTGGATTACCTTCTCGTGATGAATACAAGAAAAGGCTTATTGACAAAATCGAAAACGTGGTAACCAGAATGAGATGGAAAGCGCATTTTTACCTACATGAACCAAACGCGAAAGAACAATATAAATTTGGATTAAAATACAAAATGGCACCACCTTTTATCCATGAAATGAAACTTGAAACAGTGGAAAAATTCTTTATCTGTCATTGACTGGTTCAAAAACATCAAGAACAAACCTGGTCACTCCTTCATTTCCTTCGACGTAGCAGAGTTTTATCCATCAATAACAGAGAAACTTCTTGAAAAAGCCATCACTTGGGCTCGCGGGTACGTAAATATCGATGAGAAGCAGATGAATGTAATCAAACACGCAAGAAAATCGCTTCTGTTCAATGACGGTAAAACTTGGATCAAACAACAAAACA